TACTGCTTTTGGTAATTTTGGGGTGATATGTCATGATTTTCTTGATATATCAGGTGACATTTTTGCATCAAACAAATCGGCCAAAATGTTGCAATGTTGACATGACCTTTCATTTGTTTCAAAGAATGTTTAGATTTATGGTTCAATTGACTATGTTTAGACCTCATTAAGTATGTTTAGTATCTTAAAATTATATGTTAAGAACATTCAAGGATACAGAAAGTGCTAGGCGGCCTAGGCAATAAACCCAGTGCCTAGAGCCTAGGCATGACCTAGGCGTTTTTCTTTTTTTGTTTTTAATTACAATGAATGTTATCGAAAGTGCTAGGTGCAAAATTGGCACCTAGCGGTTAGGCGCTAGATCTAGGAGAATTTCTCTTTTCATTTAAGTAGCAACAGAGTAAGTTCTGCTGAAGGATGGAGGAGTTGGAGAAGGTGATTGTAGTTGATGGATGTGGCCAAAGGAGTTCGAAGGATGTTAGAGGAGGATATGGAGTCATCAAAGGAAGAAATAACAACCAAGACCTAAGCGGTGTATCTGCATAAGTGGTCTCCGCTCAGCTAGGTCTTTCTAAGACCTAGGTGGGCAGCTTAGGTACCGCCTAGGTCTAGGCTGCAACTTGTTAAAACATTGAGAATGTTATATTATATATGTACATCATTCAATATGATACTCTGATATTTACTACGTATCCTCAATATCCACAATTCGGTATAGGTTTAGGCGTCCAATTTTTATCTAGTATTCACGGTTGTGGAAAGCGGAGCGAAACAGTGAGACATTGCTGATGTTTTTTGGGGGCTTAAATGGATTAAAATGGAAAAACGCCAAGTAGAAAAGCGGTCCAGTTTAAATATGGATAAATATTCAAAAAACATTAAAAAATCTAAAAAAATTCAAATGCATATTTGATGATTTATAGAGATCGTAAGCATGAAATGTGTAACAGTCACACAATATTAACAAAGTATTGATGCTTCGTCGAGGTGGTGAAATAGAGAGAGAGAGCATTCGACTAAAGCTTCAACGAGGAGCTTGATGGATGGTGAGAGGAATCACAAGAAGTGGTGGAGGATGGTGAGAGGCGGTGGGAGAGGAGCCAGAGGTGGCGGGAGGCGGTGATGGAGGCTTGAGAAGCTCTTGAAGGCGGAATTGCTAGCGAGAGGTGGCTGATTTCGCGGACGGAGGTGGTGGAGGCGGAGGATGATTGGGGTTTTAGGGTTTTTCGGTTCCTAACGAAAAAGAGAAAGAGGATAGTGGGATATGAGGAGATTTAGGTATTAAAAACGGGTTTGGATTGGATGCAAATTTGAGACCCGTTTATCATCTACATTTTATTTAAGTTTTTTAAAGTGCTTTTAGCCACTTTTTCACGCCTTTGCAAGCGAAAAGCGTGCCTTTGCAAGCAAAAAGCGCCAGTGGCACTTCATACCACCACTTTGAGGCAAAGCGAAGCAACCATGGGTCCTGTCCGCTTTATACCCTCTCGTTTTGCTGCTTTTTTCAACAATGCTAGCATTGTGACTAGTAAAAGTTCATGGCACCAAGTAAACATGAGCACAAACAACTTAAGTTAGATTAGTAAAAACCTGAAAGCGATAAAAGAAATAAGAATACAAAGTATCTTGAGTTTGTATGTGAGATGGTCTAATGTCAATGCAGATGTATATCAGATAGAGCCATTGTCTAACAGAAAATAAAAATAAAGAAAATCTCTTAGTCTGAAGCCATTTTGGATTAGTGCACATCAATTTAGATGATCTTGTGTGAACATGTTGTTATTTATTTCAACAGATAAATTTCAGTTGCTACCTTATAATTTCTTCTGGAACTTTTGTTTGACACCTAACTTAAGATGGAAAAGGACCAAGTTGAGAAGGTTAATATGTCTGATTTTGATAAGGCATGCTCGATTTGGAGTCACCCCCCCCCCCTAAAAATAATAATAATAAATAAATAAATAAATAAACTTTCAAAATATAAGAAAATCCCTTTAGCTTTGAGATTTTATTAGAAAACCCCTTTAATTTATGGGGGTTTTCTAATAAAATCTCTAAGCTAAAGGGGGTTTTCTGATAAAATCTAAAAGTTAAATGAGGTTTTGTGATAATCCCTATACTTAAGGGTTTTTTCTGATATTTTGGAAGTTAAGGGGGTTTTCTGATAATTGTCCAAAGTTAAGGGGGGTTAACCCTTAGAAATATAGAAATCTTAAATGTCAATTATGGATATAGAAAATGAATTGGGAAGAATTATGTTCAAATAATAGTTACATCAATAATTTTTTATCTTCTCAGTTACCAAATATGGTCATTCCTTTATAATACTTGTTTCTTGTATTTTTAATTTTAATGTATTTGGAACTGCCATATGCCTGTTTGTTAACATGCACAGTTTGTAGACACAAACACACACATCTATATACAGGTTTTTCATATTTCTTTAAAATGATGTATGACATATCCATGTCATGTACAACCTCCAATGAACAATGTCTTGTCTATGAAGTGTAGCCCTCACTTTGTTAGCCTCATCACCATAGAGAATAAAGTTTGGCACGCGTGTTACACGTACTTCATCATAAACTAGTGCCGGGGGTAAAGAACACTCGAATTGTTGCACTAGTATGGTTAGCAGCTTTCAAAATCAAACAATCCAAAGTAAGGTTATTGAGCTCTAAGAATATAAAGTCTGATTTTCCTATCACCATTGTTCTTGAGGCGTCACAATTTGCTGGTTGCCCCACTTCAGTGAATATCAATACGAGCACTACTTCAGTAGCGAAAATCATCTAAGACTAAGAATAATGTGTTAGAGACTTCTTTTAAAGGTTTTCACCTTAAAGCAGACTATGACATTAAGTCCTTGAAAGAAATCTTTAATGAGGAATCCTGACTCATAGATTTCTCATAAATGGAAGCTTGACTGGGCCATCTTAGGAAGCAATTTCAAAAGGTATGATATTAATGAAGGCAAAAAACTGTTTAGCCATCGATCCAGAATGTCTACTAGAAGTGACACTAAACAAAGGCCAAAAAGCAAATGATTGAGCTATACATTCTGCCTGTGATCCTCCAGGGTTCTTGCTTTCATTTTGTTTTCATCATCACCTTTTTGATGAACTGGACTTGCATACCCCTTCTATCCTGTTGCTCTCTTTGGAAGGTTAGTGACAAGGCTAATGACTTTCAGAGTCAGTCTTTTAGTTTAGTAGGATCAGTACTAAACAAAGGCAATACCTTTGTCCAGGTTAAAAAGTGCAGTACTCACCTTAGGCTGGTTAAGATTCAAAGGAAACACTGAGAACATGTTACTATAGCCACCTCTCTGAATACAACCTTCAAGGCACATAGACCACAGTATTGGGGTAGGACTACTTCAAAGTCGAGGTAAAGCGGACTCAAACAGCTCCTAGTAAGAGGTCGTTTTCCCAATGAGAGGATTATTGTTTGGGGAGCCTGTAAACTGGTTGGTAAAGTTTTCATGAATATCAGGAAAATGACAGATGTTAGACAGAATGTTCATTGGATTTAATGATTCTTAAAAAAAAATAGGCCCAATGTACCATGTTGATGGTTTTCCACTAATGCATGAGAAATATTGGTTGTAACATTGGTCAGGAATCCAATTCCATGTCTCAAAAGATATGAAGATATGGTTGTTTCTACTTCTATGTTCTATTTGGTTGCCTCCATTGTTCATAATGCTAGGCAAGTATGCCAAAAAATAAATGTATTTGAAGTGAGAATCTATTATTATTTCTAAGAAAAACCATCCTTTTGGTCCTAACTTTAGGTCTACCCCTGTGTAAGCCACAAGTTCATGAAATGTCCCCACAATTTACCCATAGTTTTAGAATCATGAAAAGGGTAAACGTGGAAAAATAAAAAAAGAACCTTTTATCTCCATTCATCCCATGTTCTCCATAACTGCACCTATTAACCACCACTCTTTAATACCCCAATATCTCGTCCATCCCTCAACTTCTCATCATTTTTAGCCTCAAAGTTGTGCATAAGAAGTACTAGTATTGAATAGATGAAAAGCAAAAGGGAACGGAAAAATAAAGGAAAGATGAGGAGAAAGAAAAAAAATGGTGACTTTCTTCAGTGAGGCAGTAACTTTGTGCCTCAGGAGTCAGGAGCGATAGGTTCTGTTTGGTTTGCTACAAAAAGATATTGTAGCAAATGATGCAGAACAAATGCTCATGTATCATTTGTTGTGGGAAAGCTATTTCAAATCCATTGTTTGGAATCTTTGGATATCTGCAATTGTATTGTGGAAAATGTATTTCCCTTGAAAACTCTGTTTGGTTGAAAAACAAAGGATGCAAAAGCTATAAAATTTGGAACTGGAAAGGCCTTTTGATGAGATGGCATTGTATTTTTCAAGTTCTTTTTTGAGAACCTGCAACCTTTGGTGCGACCAAATTTGCTGCAGCTTTTTTCTACAACTTGCAACTTCACTTATATCTTCTAATGATAATATTGATAATGAAACATTGAAAATATGAATCTCAGCTGCAATATTTACTTCTGGAAGTCTATTTCCTCTCAACCGAACAACCCATTAGCTTCTTCCCTCACCCGTCAACTATGAAAACAGTATTTGCTTATTATTGGTAGCCTATTGGTTGTTCTTTTTCTTGAAGATGCTAGGACCTTTTTAATTTATCTGTTCTGTGGGCGTCAACAATTTGGAGTACCATGCTTCAGCAAACTTTTTATTTGATACGTTTTCCTTTGCTCCCTCTTTCAATTTGTCTGATGTTCAAAGGCTGTAGTTGATGTATTTTTCGACTCTTCGACAGCTTTGATATTCATTGATACTTCCATAACATGTTTACAAGGTTAATTAAGAAGAAATGAGGAATAAAGATTTAGTCTGTACTGAGATTGTTGCACTGCCTATCTCAGTACTGCTAATGCAAATGCTGTTCTGTTCTCAACATTCTACGTTCACATTTTTTTCTGAGAAAAGGGGCAACAATGAATGACAGGTTGCTGAAAGGTCCCTCTTCTTATGGAACAACGATCATATTGTGGGGCTTATCGCCCAAAATCGCCATGTCATCTTCCCAATCATATTCGAAGCATTGGAGAAGAACATGCAAAGCCACTGGAACCAAGCAGTTCACGGACTCACAGCAAACGTTCGAAAAATGTTCCTTGAAATGGACAGCGAGCTGTTTGAGGAGTGCCAGCAGCACTACATAGAGAAAGAGGCAAAGGCCAAAGACGTGGAAGAGCAGAGGGAGCTGGCATGGAGAAAATTGGAAGCTGCTGTTGAAGCTCAATCCGGAAATGATGATATGGTGTTGGTGAGTTAGAGAAAGTCCCATGTTTGTTTCTCTCTTTTTGGCTTGGTAATTTTTCTGTTATTAATTAAAGAAAGAAGGATAAGAGTACTTGTAATTTAAGTGTATCATTTGTGGATATGCTGCAGATCTTGAATGGATGTAGGATACTGTCATTTTTTGTTTTTCCTTTTTTTGGCTTTTCACTTTTCAAAGGAACGTAGCGTTGTCAACCAAGCTAGAAGGTCGTTTTGGAAACAGATTGAGAGAGAATTGAAAATGTGGTTGCGTGATTGGTATGATAAGCTCCCTGCTCATTCTCTGATAAATGAGCCTGCTGGATCTGTTTGAATGACCAAGTTATCAGAACAGAATCCAGATTTACTGTCTTCTGTTAATTATTACATTTTCGCATGGCTTGGTGATGTCTCTACAAGCTCACAGCTCCATTCATCCCGTGTAATGGATGATTATTTTCTACAGATTATAGTAACTCTTGTACTTGGCTTTTTTTTTTTCCCGGCCTCAATGAGCTATGAAATTTTACTCTTGGATTTCCTTCTCATATTTATCTTTTCGAAAATGGGAAGAAAGATGCTGCAGATTAAGACGCTACATAAGCACGGGGTGTAGTTTGTGTTAAGAGCAATCGGAAAGACAGCTGATGCACAACGCTATTCTGGAGCCGGCAATCTGTGATGTAACAAACTGAGCTCATCTGAAACCGATATTTTGCTGAGTGGAAAATGATGATATTCTTTTTTTTTCTTTTTTCTTTTTTCGTCTTTTTTTTAAAGAAAAAAGTTTAAATGGTAATCGTACTATGAACTCTAGACTATTTTATAGTATAAAAACAAGAATGTGGGTTCAGTTTATGACACTTGATAGGATTTAATAGCAAACTCTAAGCTAAAATGTCCTATTGGCCTAAAAAGTGATATTTATTTACACTTTGACCTCAAAAGTAACGACGGTGACACTTTAACATAAAATATAATATATCGGTGATATATAAGCCTTTCTCGAACGTCGGAGTTAACTTTTGAGCAAAATATTAAAGGAATTATACACATAGACTCCTCAACCCCCTCATGATTTTTGAATTAAGTCATCTCTCCTCTCGTGGACACAAGTTTTGTTCTATATATATATATATATATATAACTCTTCCTTCCCACTATCTTCTCCCTCCTTCCAACGATCTCCTCCGATCCCTTATCCTTCATATAACCCAGCCTTCTCTCCTCCTTCCCTCTCCTTATACATCGTTTCCTAAATCCTCACTCTTACTTTCTCCTTTCCATTATTTTGTCCTTTCCATTATCTCCTATATTCGCTTTTATTCCAAATCCCCGGTCTCTCCTCCTCTCTCGCACTCCCTCTCCATTCTTCTCCTTTTTCTTTCTCCTACTCTCTTCCTCCTTCCTCTCCATTCTTCTCCTTTATCTTTCTCCTACCCACTCCCAATCCCCAACATCAAACATTCTATCACCGTCTTAACCTCACTCTTCTCTTCTTCTCTTGCACTCCCTCTTCATCCTTGCTCCCCACTCCTTCATCCTCCAATCACTAAAAACTCGATCTCCTTGAAAATGAGGATATAAGAAAGAAGGAAAGAGAATGGTGAGGATCAGGAAGAGAATAAAGAGGTGTCACTTTTTAGCCAACCTGGTACTTTAGATGCAATTTCTGAGAAAGAATCTTTGATAAAAAATTCTAGTACAAAAAGTAGATTAGATTGCGTAGCTTATACCACCGCTCTTGCTAAACATGTTGAGCGTGCTGTATTAATTAGGACAACATTGAAGAAATAGAAAAGTACACTATTCCGTAAATGTGCAGTGATATTAAAAAGGAAAAACAGAAAATGATATCCCAGCGCATGTCTTTTAAGCCATCCGGCATAAATGCCAGTCTCAAATCAAACAAAACTGGTTGCCCTGAACAAAACACACGAAAACAATCAATTGCACAAGGAACAAATTTAGATTACCTTCTTTATTATGTAATTTACTAACTACAGCTTGGAAAAATACACAACCCAAATCCCCTCTACTCGGTAACGCCTTTCTCCTCGCAAAACTGCTATGAATAAAAAAGTCATCCCTGCAAGCTGAATCTCAACTCAACTTTGAAAATATTAGCTGCGGTATAAACACATCCATTTTATTGCCATGTTACTATTTTGCTACATCTTGATCACTTGGAGGTGCCTTTCTCGAGAGAAATGAGACGACAGGAAAATGAGGCAACAGGAAAATAAATATTATCAACATGAACATGAATCGCCTTCATTTCCTATTTTATCTCAGGTGCATGCGGGTCATCAATTTGCCTCAGCCCAGGTAAGCTCATTTCTGAGGTATAATCACAATGCATTAGGAAAAATCAGTCAGCAATTAAGAACCGAACCTCGCAGCTCCCGAAGTAAAAGATGACAGAAGTCCTGCTGCTGGGCCAGGAAGCATGTCACCAAATGTTGACATGGCAGCTGTCGATCTGTCCTTAAGCGTGCTGTCAGAGAGCATTGATCCCCAAAGTGATGTGCTTTCACCAAATTTGCTGCCGACCTGCTCATTTGCATATTTGATAACGTGATTCTTCTCTTTTTATTTTTTTTAACTTAAAAGGACTACGGAAACAAAGTAACTAGCATTACACACCAGACAGACTTCCAGAAGCCTTAAAAGGCATGGTAACAGGTCAAGATCCCAATCAATTAGTAGGCTTCCGGGGAATAAAAACTAATAATTGACAATGAATTTCCAGTTTCAACTGGAGACATTTGTAAGAAGACTCGAGAATTAAAAGTAGTTTGACTGCTTAGCTCGGAGAAAGCTTGCCCATCATTCGATAGAAACCCATGATATGATAAATTTCACGTGATGTGTTGAATATATCATGGACTAATAAGAGTATGAAAATGAAATCGGGTTTTGTTTTTTCCCCCTCCACAAGCAAGGTATGCTCTATTCTAAAATAGGAAATAGAGTAGAATATCTCTGATGCATCTAGAGCCTCATTGACATCCCAACATTATCATTTCAAAAAGAAAAAAGTTCATCAAAAGGTTGCTCACAAATAACCACCAACATCAATCTTGAGGTATCAAATGTGAGAATCTCGGAGAAAGGGTTGACAATTTTATGCTTTTGAAATTTCTCGGTAACTTACAGGGCTAAATCTGATTATGCCAATCATATGTATTCAAGCTCTAATTCTGGAGCCAAAGATAGATGAATGGTAATAACACTACAAGTCAAACTTTAGTTATTTATTAATTATTTTATCTCCATTGAAAATTTAGAGAATGAATCTTATCATATAGTGAATAAGTATCCAATGTTAAAGATGACATTCACAAACGAAATGGGGGGAAAATCTAAAGCATTCATGTCTAACAAGCACAGTTAAACTTGAAATACGAATTGGTATATGTAGAAAATCAAGCATTATTGAGAGGCTTGTACTGGAATAAATAAGCAACTTAAATCTCAAAACCAATCATACCTGTGTCATAAAAGACTTGAATAAAGGAGTTGGAACTCCAGAGCTAACAGAATCATCAAACTCATGTTTTGGAGTCCCCTCTCCACTTGCATATGTATTCCACGGACTCTTTGGTGTTCCATTCTCTGCAGATGTCTGAAGAGTTGATCTGTTTTGTCCTCTTGATGACAAGGCAGGTGCACTGGAAAAAGACATGAATAGATCAGATTAAACATAAGTTCAAGCTGCTCTAGGTGATGAATTCAAATATTGAACTATAAATGCTATGAAGTGTAGCATAACATCCATTGCAAAGATGAACTAACTGTTCTTATAATATTCTCAAGATAACAGCGGTTTCTAGTACTATGCAGTCGTGAAAGAATCCAACATTACAGCAATGCATGCCTCAATCAGATTTTGATAGTTTTTAACAATGAATATTAATTGTTTGCTTGAATAAAATAATGGATGTTGGCAGTGTTTTCAAAGGCGCGCGCCTCATGCGCCTTACGATGCGGGGCAATGGCGAAGCGCCCCACATCTGATGCAGCAGCGACTTTTACGCTTCGCGTACATCCTTACTTTGTGCAAGGTGCATGTAGTGCATATCCTCATATAGTTTTTTTATTAACATTTCAATCGAGTCTTTATACTTGATATTCCATATCCCAAAAAGCAAAATAAATCCATTAGACCTTTTTAATAGCCTTCAATTGAGGACTATTACTAATACTTTGCTTGGATATTAGTTTTGATTTAACATTTGATTTGAAAATTTATGAATTTTGCTACTACGTTGGGTGTTAGCATTAGAAATTAAGGCATTATATTGTGATTATGTACTAAGATATTATTTATCATGATATTTTTTATGTAAATTCTAAAAACATGTTCTTTCACGCTTGATTACATATATTGAAAAATTATGTGTGCGGTGTACGCCTCGCATAACTCGAGCGCGTGCATCGCGTTGCGCCTTGTGCATGTACGCGTAAAGATGTTTTGCGCCCCACATTGCGCCTCGCACATTGACAACACTGGATGTTGGTCACAATGAATATCTTTAAAGTGTTACAAAAATACTTCGGAGACGATACTTTTTGCTATCATCAAAGAGCATGAATAACTAATGAAGCTCAAAACTTGCATTGCTTTGGGCAACAAAACGAATAATGCACTTCAGACCTAGGAGTTAGGATTAATCATGTTGAAAGTAAAATGTTTTGGTAAATAGGTGCTTAGCTTTTTCCATTAGCACAGAAGAACTCCTTGCATTATTGCCAGCTCCAAATCAATCCTCATATGTCACAAAAAATTCCATAAAAATGTAGAAATTTGTTTCACAGCTGAAGATTCAACAGTAGCATAAAGTAATGGTGTCTAGCTGCAGCCTTTTTTATTTTTCACTAAAGTTCATCTAGGCCCAGACAAAAGTCTAACTTACTTTTCAGGACATCAAGTCAGAAATCAAAACCTCTAATCATGGTTGGCCAGGGATCAGGCAGCCAAAATTGCAAATTGTTGAATGGATGCTAAGTATGTATAATCAGTGATAGTTCATTGTTTGCGCATAAAGAGGACAAACATGCATAGCACTATGATGGTACATTAGCATTTTCATTCCACGTGTCTGCTGGTAAACTACTATAAAAGAATGACTTCTTCAACTCTTGGGACTGTAAATAGGACACCTCTAGATCATGTTATTCAAAATGCAGGCTGTTGTCATGTGTAAGTTTCTAATTTCTATTGACAAACATGAACAAAAAATGTAGGACACCATTAATTAAGACTTAAAAAGGACAATTTACAGATTCTCTAAAATAGATCCGCTACGCATACAAGTGGATACAAGTACTTTTGATATACAATTATCTGGAACTTCACTAAAATTGGTGGCATAAAATTTTCTTTAAGACTATGTTAGTTTTGATTGAAAGCGAAAGAAAATAAAACAAGAGGAAAATGAAAAAGAAAGGAAAATGAAAAGAAAGAAAAATAAGAAAGAGAAATAAGATTCTTTTTATGTTTGGTTAGAAAGAAAATGGTAAAAAGAATTTGAAGGAAATGATTAAAAAGAAGCTCTCTTGTTTGTTAGTTCCAAAAAATGTTGCAAGAAATAAAATTAATTTATATAATAGATTGACCCATATTAATTCATTCTTTTTGAAATTATTTTACAAATTTTCTTTAAATTCCTTTTTTTTATAAGGATAGTATCTACGTTCATTGGTCTTTGTTCAGGGGGTGTTAGTCAGCTAGAACATTTTTGATAGAAGTGGAACAATTTTTATTATGGGATAATTTTTTAATGTGGGATATTTTAATGGGATAATTAGGAGTGATATTTTAGTGAGACAATTGTTAGTATAATTAAGGATAATTTTCAAAAATCAATAAGCATATAAGTCATGTATTTTGATGATCATACCACTATTTATACATTTTAAAACTTATTATTATTATTATTATTATTATTATTATTATTTTAGTGTTAATTAATCTTGAAGAACTATTAGATAGACTATAACATTAACTTTTTAATTTTTTTTGGAATTATTATTGTAATATAAATTAAAAAATAGTTTTTCCTTTTTTCTCTCTCTTTTGATCTAACAGACATCATTCTATCATCTCTCAATTTTAAATCTTTTAATAAAACATGAATTTTGTAATTTTTAAATTTAAATTAATTATACAAATCAAATATTTAATAAAAAGTAAAAAATATAACATTAAATAGAAGGGAATGATAAGAAGAGATGTGATCCAATTTTATGGCGTGGTTTGAAAATGACTGAGAAATGAAATATGAAAAATAAAAAAGTAAATAATAAAGTTCTAATTTTTTACCATGTAGTTCTAGCTTAAAACTTGGGGCAATTTGAGAGACTAGAACTCTCTTTTCTATATAAATTTGACAAAAGTGGGATAAATTTTTACAATTATCTCAGTTCTACTTTTTATCCAGTTCTTGTTAACTAACACTATATAATTTTATCTTAGTTCTAGTTCCAATGGACTAACATTATAAAATATTCCCCAAATTATCTCAATTCTAATTTTGAGTTCTACTTGACTAACCCCCTCTTTGGGAAACAAAATCTTCTACAGAGCTTTCTATAAAAAAATCATAGTGAGAAAGTAGATTATGATGTGTCTCGCTTTCAATTTCAAATCACTGTAAATAATACAAAAAACCAATGCAAACAATAAATGCCAATAAATAATTAATAACATAATGGATTTTTCCCCTAAAAACCAACTTAAAAATAAAGTAATTATACGAAAACCACCTTTTCTTTTTAATTTATACATAAACCACCTTTGAAGTTGGTTTTTGTTGCAATAAACTACCTCAAAGTCAAAATTTTCACTAAAAATCCAAAATTACCCTTAAAAACTTACATTGAATGCACGTGACTTACTCTTTTAGTGTTCAGGTCTTGTTAGGCTACAACTCACGTACCCTGAACTTGAATTTTTTACGTGTATTCAGGTCTTGTTAGGCTACAACTCACGTACCCTGAACTTGAATTTTTTACGTGTATTTTTAGTTTTTTAATGAAAATTAGACTTGGAGGTGGTTGATTGCAACAAAAACCAACTTTAAATGTGGTTTATGTATAAATTGACAATGAAAAATAGTTTTCATATAATTACCCTATTTTTAAGGTGATATCTAGGAAAAAATCCCTAAAATAAAGTACTGAATCAATACAAACGATATAAATTTCAATACAACAGTGAATTTTAAACATCCTACAAATTATAAGAATTGATTTTTATTTCCCGTATGGTATTTTTAGATGATCCTCTACATGATTTTTTAGGGTATTTCCAATATTAGTCCCTAAATATTTTCAAATTGGTCCCTTAAATCATTGAAATTGCTATTATATCCCCCAAATAAGTTATTTCAAAATTAGTCCCAAATCATTGAAATTGCTATTATCTTCCCTGATTCTTATAAGCTGTCTCTAATTAGTTCCTCTAATCAAGAGTAAAGGTAGCAATTTGAGGGATTAGTTTGAAACAAATTATGAAAATAGAGGTCCTAATGGCAATTTCAATGATTTGATGGAACAATTTTAAAATATGAAAAACTTAGGGACCAGTGTTGCAAAAACCATTTGTTTCATGTTTTTTAAACCCTAACACACAGCACGTTGCACCTATATTCCTATTTTAATACTTAGGTTGGGCCCACATGGAATTATCAAAGGCCAGAATCGTGAAGGTTAGCTCTCGATGGCGTCTTCCGAGTTCGACCTCGACTTTATTTTCATTAGCTTTCCTTACCTTCCGGTGAACAGAGCAGAAATGAAAGCTTCCAATAGTTTTTTTTTAGGTAATCTAATTTTTATTTTCCTTTTACTTTTCTCTCTAACCAAGCAAAGGAAATTTATTTTCTTCATTTTATTTTCTTTTCCTTCATTTCCATTCAAACCAAACGCAAGCTAAGAGTATATTTAGCAAGCGATCAAAGTGACTTACAAGCCACCTTTACATGTTTGGCAAATTGATTATTTTGTCTTAGGGTACCTTAGCTTATTATTTTGGTGGCTTATAAGCCACAGAGTTTGACCAAGTAAAAGACTTTCATAGAATTTCAAGCCCCATATATCTCTCTCCAACTCCATTAAATGTTTTTTGGTCATTTTGACAACAATAACGGCTAATAAACTACTCATTTACCAACCACTCTACTATTAAAAATGGATTATAATCCACTAAATTTACCAAACACTTTGACTTATAATCTACTTTGCTTACAATCCATTTGTGGATTATAAGCCAAGTGGACTATAATCAAAAGTTGATAAACATGCTCTAAATTTAGCATGATATTGTAAAAGCATTCAAATAAAAAGCTAAAGGACAGAGAAAATTCAAGAATATGGTGATAAGTTCAGATACCTGATTGGAAGGTATTTGAATCGTGGAATTGTAGAACATCTCAAGATGTTTGACTCTGTATTTGACCTTGTAGGTAACTTCTGGACAGTATCAGTGTACATTCGGTTAAGCTGAACTAGGAAACCAAACATCACAGCATAGCGTTTGTATGATTGCTTTTCATTTTCCCAAAGGTAAGGCTCATACCTGTGAAATTACAATAAAAAAGTTCAAACATCTAACTACAAGAAGTAAGACCAAAAAGACTCGCATCCAATTTAGCAAAGAAAGGTATGCTCATGGAGGCTTTCATTTTTTCCCCTACTTTTTGGTGGCATATATCATGTCCTAGAGATGACCTTAATCATCTTTACTCCTATCATACTCATTTCTTACATGTTAAGAATTTTGGAAGGTTACTCTTCGGTCATATGCTTAAACTCCCATCTACAAATGGTGTATACGGTTCTTGTCAGGAACTCGGTACAAAATCTCTGAGGGCTGACATCAAGTTGATTAATGATTTTAGAAGTTTGTCAAATCTTTGTTTGGGCCTCCAAGAACACAGTGCTGTTTCTAAAGCATCCTCACTTTAATGGGAAAGAACTTGCATGATGATAACAGAGATGAACTGTCCTTTACATGAATAATTCATTCTAAATTGATGCAGAAAGAAGCGCGATGAATCTAATTCAATTCACTCAAATTTAAAAGGTATCATCAAAAGGATGAGCTTACGTAGCCCAGTCAATAGGATCCAGCCTCTGTGAAAGTCTCCGTATTAACCCGATTACAGGGTCTTTACTAGCAGATTCCTGCAGCTGCCTTCGCCTGACAGAAGGTTTTGGAATGTTGTTCAAATCTTTGCCTCCAGCTAAAATGTCCGCACAAAATCTGATATCCAACAGGATTTGCAAGACTCCTTTTTCTGAGACTCGAGATTCAGGACCCTCTATAGTTGAAAGAAAATTTTCATAGATACCAACAACCTGTGAGCCATTTGTCAGTATGTACAGTAGTGCTTCAGAATACAAGGGATAGCATTCATGACGTTAACATGATGGTCACGAAGGAGATGAACTATACTAGGCTCACCATCATTTCACTTACAAGAACTAGTTCAACCACGATCCAAAAATCTCAATTTTGACAAAATAAGATTCAAACCCTGTTATGTTCTTACCATTTATCAAATTGTTTGCATACTCAAGTTCAAAGTCAATCAAAATAGAATAACAAACCACAACAATAACTACAGTCCTAAACATTACACGAGACTCCCATTATAACGCATGCAATTGATTCAAAAGGGCTAGCAGAAGTTAAAGAAAATTACCTATTATTCTAAGGTCGAGCACTTCTTAGACTTAGTAGCCTCTTCAGAGATCTACAATCTCATTTATAGATTTTTAGTACAACAAATGTGGCACGGTTTAGACTTAGTAGCCTCTTCAGAGATCTACAATCTCATTTATAGATTTTTAGTACAACAAAAGTGACACAGTTAAAATAAGAACTCAGTCCACAATGGTATTGTTAAAATTGACAAAACTCGACAGTTTATAACCAAAATTTACATAGTTTGTGTATTCAAAAGCTCTATACAGTAAACCAAGTATGGTCATAATACAGCTAAATTGCATAGGTATGGGTACGGGCAAAGCTTTAAAAAGCTCCTGCCTAGTCTTAGGTGGTACCTAGGCCACCTAGGCTCTACCCACCTAGGTCTTGAGCGCCTAGGAGAGCAAAGACCGCTTACGCAAATTGCATTGCTAGGTCTTAGTCATGATTACCTCCAATGCTGCCTCCACATCCTCTACCCTCCTCCAAACTCCTCTCGCTTCCTCCACCGACTACGAACACCTCCTCCAACTCCTCTAACCTTCAGCAAAACCTCATCCACTACCACCTAAAATAATCCTCTTAGGCTTAGCGCCTAGGTGCTAGGTGCCAGTTTGGCACCTGGCGGTACCTAGCGCTTTTGATAACATTACTAGTAATTAAGAAACAGAACGCCTAGGTTCTGGTGTCGGATCCAACTCCTAGGTCACATAGCGCTTTCTGTAATGTAATTAAGAAACAGAACGCCTAGGTTCTGGTGCCGGATCCAACTCCTAGGTCACATAGCGCTTTCTGTAACCTTAGGAACAGGTGCAAACACCAGTGAGGGTGCTCCGGAGGGGGCATGGCAAATTTTTAAAAGTAGGATATGGGGACACGACTGAAACTCATAGGATATAAGCATAATTATGAGCTATATATGTAAATGACCCTTTCAAATATTGCCTCTTAAAGCTGAAATTACTCGACCCTTATCCAACAAGTCACAAAAATAGATGTGTAGGACGAAGTCGACCCTTTTAAATCAAACATGCATTGTATAATAGAGTACATGTCTAAAAAAATATATGCATATATTTAATGAGTGTCCAATAAGTGTCGGGTATGAGTACGAGTACGGCATGTGTCGGGTACGAGTACGAGTACGGCATGTGTCGGATACAGATACGACTCAATATTAGTACCCACGTAATATCAAGGTTGCAGATCGCGAATCGTGGCGCGTCGCGAAGAGGTACCGCTAAGGCTATTTCGGGCTATTGCAACGAAATAGCGACAAATAGCGCACAGTCAAATAGCGGTCAACAAATCAAGTATCGCATCCTATCAGGTTTTCAGGACAATAAATGAAAATCCGGTGCATTGTAAATACACAATGTTCTCCTCAGATGTGCAGAAGATACAGTATGTCCACACTCCACATTCAAATAGACCAAGGTCCCATTAATTTTCAGGACAATTGATAAGCTTGTCGAGTTGTCGTGTATATGAATTATGATTTATGAATAAATATAACATCATCAAAAATGTAATTATTATTTATTACATTTTTCTCTTTGTTGCAGACGAAGCCACTGCCCAACAGAGATGAAGAATTGAAGATGTTGTCGGAGGGATGTGTTACTGTTGCCGGAGGGAAGTTGTCACCGGAGGAAGTGAGAGAGAGAAAGATGAGTCAACATTGGCTTGACCAGAGAGAGAGAGATGGATTGACCGGAGAGACGGTGAACAGGAGTCGGCGCTGTTGGCTTGACTGGAGAGACAATCATAGTGAACGAGAGATAAGAAAGTGAAGAGGAGGGGGGGGGGCAGAGATCAAGAGAGGGTACGGAGTCGGCGCTGTTGTGCGGGAGTCAGCGCTGGAAGTCTGTTGTTGGCGGCGGCCGTGACCGGCGCTGGAAGTCGTCGCCGGACGACCGATAAGGGTTTAAGTGTAATGGGTTACGGTACGGGTCGGGTTCGGGGGATTACTCATTATCTACTGTAGCGGAAATTAACGCTTTTTACCGCTTATTCGTGCTATCGCCCGCTATTCGAGCAAATAACGGTTTTCTCCGCTTAATCACGACGTGAACCCCTTAAGCGTTGCGCTGAACCCCCGCGACCGCGAATAGAGCGCCGCTATTCGCCTCTATTTACGACACTGCATAACATAGTAATACAAGTATGCAGACATGGAAAATATTGAAATAATACTCTGCATTATATCGTTGAGTGCGTGTGTAATGCTACTAACTTTTTTTTAAACCAAGAATAACATTATATTCACTGTTATCCAAGATTTTCCCCCCAAACAAGCACTGCCTCCAAACACCACTAAAAGGCAAAAAGCTCAAGAAGAGAAATATTGTTTTTTAAAATCTGAAAACTAACTGAGAGGAGTATGAGGCTGTGACACAAGTCACACAACGAAGAAATTAATTGACAAGGAAAAATAACAAATGAGAAGTTTTGCACGTTATAGTCCAGTATAACGTCAAAAAGTGACCCACAAAAAATTTTGCATCATTATTTCAAAATAGGAGGTGACATAAGAATTCAACATCACGAAAATTTTGTTGCCATTCAAAAAATAAATAATAGAATGTGTTTTAGCACACCTGCACCCACCTAGGGAATCTGATTACAATGTACTGCTACAAAGGAAGAAATATCTAGCTACTCATTGATCCTGTAGGGCATACTACAGAAAGTGACACCTTGAAAATCTGAAACCTATTTTATAGAAATACTGTATGTGTTTAAAAACTGATTGATAACATAAGTGACACCTAAACTGCTTTAGAAAGTTAATCACAATGATTATACAACATCCCCATTGAATTTCAAAACCAAGACTTTCTACATACTATTAAAGGTTTGATTCTAGCACCCAACAAAAATCCAAATCCATTTTAATCAATTACGGGGAATGACAGACTAAAAATATTTAGTTTCATAAATCCTCCATTTTACATTTTCTTTTAGCATCCTGATTATTTTATTGATAAGAAATGCAGAAGATTTCCAATTGTGCATAAATAACATTATCCTCTAATCCTAACTAGCATCAAGTTTTTCTGAGACCAAAGATCGATTCATGTGCAGTATTTGAGAAGAAATAACAACACAACCTGGAAAAGACAGCATTATCTACACATAGCATTACCTTCTTGTGCATGTATGAAAATATAAACCCACATGCAGAAACAAGAACTATCACCACTCGCAGAGGTAAGAGAAGACCTTAATGTAAATTACCCAAAGAGCACAGAACATACCTTCTCCAGTAGCCTGCCAGCATAATTCCTTAATATACTTTTGTCAAGGACATGACCTCCAATTTTGTGAATTTCCAAGCATGCATGAAAGAGAAAAAAGGTTATGTAGAGTGAAGGCATGGAAGGAAGAGCTATCTTCATCTCTGGAGAACTCTCACTAGACTGCTCTTGTTTGACAACAGTCACTTCCCATCCCTGTTAGCATCATTTAGTCCAACTTAACAGTGTATCTCCCATTAAAAAAAGAAGAAGAAGAAGAAGTATATCAAGTAGCTGATCGCACCCTACAAATAGAGTTAAGACAACTAATAACAAACCAATCCTTGCTGCTCAGGATAACATAAATTTGATAAAATTTGTAAACTATACAGATTCTTACACTAGGATCTATTATTACTTGGTAGTTGACACATAATGTGCAATGATCAGGAGAAAACTTTCACCAAGAAGTTCATTTTAATTCCAGAATTCTTGAAGTGAGAAAAGATAAGATTACGAACATAAAAAGAAATACCTGAAATATAACTGACAATTTCCAACCAGTTTCTATTTGGTGTAAACCCTGTGAATCCGATCTTCCTAGCTGCGGAAATTCCCAAAGGCTTGTCCCTAAGCTTTTTAGGGAAGTTGATCAACAGGAAAAGAAACTTTATTAGTTTTGCAGTTTATGCTCGCGCAACTAAGGAACACTTATTGAAAGTCTACGAACTAGCTTCTCTTAGCGAAGGAAATCGTGACCTAGAGGTCACGGATTGGTGTAGTGGAAACCTCTTGAAAAAATGCGAGGTGAAGCTGTGAAGAATAGACCCAAAGTGGTATGAACCCCCGGACCCTGCGCATAGAAGGAGCTTCATGCACCAGGCTGCCTTTAGCTGTGGAAGTTATGAACGAAGGAAAGTCTTGTCGCTTCGCCTTGTAGGCAGCTGTTCCAATCCTAGCCAAAGCCCTTGCCGCCCTCATCAACACTTCACCATAAATTTTTTACTTGCAATATTATTGGCCGACCATCCAAACCAAAACCTCTTCCTACTCCCAACTGAACCCAAAATGCAGCGCCACAACTAAGAATGGTCCAAAAGTCTTGACCTTTTTTTCATCTAAGATCTAGCAACCCTCAAAACTTCCCCGAAACAAGATTCAAAACCCCACATCATGATTCATCCCCAAATTAGGTCTTCCTATTTAAAAGTTGAGAATGGACAGTGGATTTTCAACAAAGGCCGGGCCTAATGCTTGGAAAACATCAACAACTCGTGCCACAGGTATAACTGTCATCAGATACTTGGTTTTTTTTAAATCCTATGGTACCTATATTTCTATGTGTAATTCTATACATAATTATTGTCGCGTTCATATTTCCCTATGATTCTTGCACATTGTTGCATCTTAGCATATAGATTTTGCATCTTATTTCCACAATCATCTTTAGGAATCTCATCTAGAACATTCGTACAGTTTATCGATTTTAAGACTCTCGTCAAGTTAGTTTATGAATTTGCATTATCATTGTGCTAGCTTGTTTACATCTAGTAGACTCATAAATCAAATTGACCGGTTCCAACTTCCGACATCTTGCGTCAACCTACTTCATTTATTGCCTTTTTCAGTAAGCTATATGTGGCTAAAGAATAAGATCCCAAAATCAAATCATGTACGACTACTAATAAATGTATAACTTTGGGGGAGTAATTTGTTAACAAAATAGATAGCTGCAACAAAAGCACTACCTTGAAAATCATTCTAGAACTAGACCGTTCAAGGAAATAAGCTCTACACATTTGCATACGACTGACGTGTCGACAACTTAAGCAAAGACTTTATTTAAAACGTTTAGGGCTCTTACATGGATCATCTTCTTTCCTTTAGCTCTGTAAAAGACAATCCCTTCTATTAAATTTGACAACTATCCTTTTTAATTGCCTCCATCCACGACATTAGGGCTACTTCTTCTCTGGCATTTATCGACCTACATTGCAAATGTCTGAGCCATCTAGGCCCTTTCTCCTTCATTTTATATTCAAAGGGTACCATCTCTAACTACTTACGTATTATCCTGTCTCTCAGTGTATCTTCACTCATCAATCACAATATTCTAATTTCTATTACATTTGCTTTTAGAAAGATGTTAAACCTCTTATAGCATTAAATATTCTTGACTTTAAAGTGAAACTTCTAGAATATGATTTGTGCTATCTTCCTATTGTAGATATTATATGTTTGTAGGCATGTCTATTATGCATGTCATTGGCTTCAATAACTTGTCATCCATGAAAACAAGAGTGTTTACCCTTCCCTTACTCCCCCCAACCAACACCCCTAATCTCAAAACAAATAATAATAATAATAATAAGGATTTAATATTTCAATAAGTTAAAAGAATGCATATTCTGCTGACATTCTTTTAAAAGCATCAGAATATAATAAATTAACTGGTGTGCCTTTGACAAGACAGACATTAGGAATAACCTGATTCAATGTGTGAGTTCACGTAAAACTTCAGAATTGGATCCTTAAAAGTCATTTCCTGGAGGATCCTTAAAAGTCATTTCCTGGAGCTTATTAAATAGAGTATGGATGTTAAAAATATATTTCATTTTTCATGGATCATTTGTGTAGATTGATTCACTTGGTTCTAGCTGAAATAACTATTTTCTTCCTAAAAAATCATACACATAAGTTAATTTGGTTGAACATAGCTAATATTGTAAAAAATACAAATAAGACAACATTTATGAGCCAAAACTTAATAAATTCCCATTTTATTCTTCATGGAAATCGACTTGTTTAGGGAGAAACATCGGATATTGGATGAACTCAAACTCAACCCTGAATATGATAAGTCACTGGGTTCTGGTTCAGATCCTTAGGAATGGATCCTAGATTTCTAAGTGAGTTTGGATCCCAACTGATTCCTGCAAGTTTATAGGATCTGAAGTGGAACCCGAATAGATTATTACAGCCCCTAAGCATACTATCAGACCATGTATGCATTCTCTAACTTCTTTTTCCTTTATTTGTTCCTCATGTGTGACTATAATTCCCTATAGAAAAAAAACCACATTGTGATACCATCTTAGACTCTTTGTATCCGTTGGAATAAGGAGAGTTACTTCTTTAGTGTTGAGATTGCAATATAGCAAGCTCTTCACCAGTTCCCTAGTAGAAATCTAACTTAATGTAACTTATAACAATCCCAAAACAATGAAAACTTTGTTTCGAGTTTTCTAGATTATGCATTTTAATCCATAGGCATAGGCTACCCCCCATATGAAGGGAAAATGCTTCGTACACTTTTACAGTATTTGACAGGAGCCTTGTTTGTGAAAGCTTTTAAGCTCCGTTAGCTTTCAGAGGCTTTTGTCTTTTATGATAAAATGTTATAACTGTATGGGTGCTTGGGTGGAATAGTCATTTGTTTAGTCAAACTTAGCTTATTTAGATGAGCTTATATGCTAGTTTTTCAAAAGTTGCGGATCCTTTTTTTTTTAAATGGGCCCTAAAAGCAAGCTTATGTGGACTTTATCAAACATGTAGATATGGAAAAGCATGGCTTACTTTGACCAAAAAATAAGCCCCTCCCAAAACACCCTCTTCATCACTTTCATAACTTGTATAACTTGCTCCAGCTATCTTACTAAAAATTACTAAAGACTTACATTAAGAGCAAGCATATCATGCAATTAAGCAATATACTAGGCTACCACAGGGAATGATGAAAATTTGAACACGAAAATAAAGAAAAGGACGCATACCTGCCAAGGAGTGGATGTAGACAGTATGTCATCTTTATTGAGTTCCTTTGCAAGAATAGCAGATAGCTCATTGGACACCCATAGTATCCATAGCCCATGAGCTCTAATGCAGAGTTCTTGCAAAGTTTTGCTGAGCTCCTCAAGTTTCGGGCTTTTGCTGTCATCTACCGTAAACAAAGCAGCAGCAGCTGAAATTGTTTGTCTCCTAGGGCTATCAAGGAATTGCCTTCGAGGACTTCTGGGGCTGTCAGTTGTGTGCCGTCTAGGGCTAAAAGAAATAGGAGAATCAAAGCCTCCTTTAGATTTCTTTGACAAAGGAGATGCTAGGTTGGAAAATGCCGCCACACCTGTTTCTTTCACCCAATTCCTTGGGGAACCAAGTACCAAAGGAATTTGACTTGAATGGTTTCTCAAAGCAAACAAGAGTCGTCCAATGAAAAGTGATCTTTCAACAAGTACAAAAGGTGGCTGAGAGTTTATGTCTGCCATATAGTTTCCCATAGAATCAGAGAGCCGTCCAAGCTCATCCTCAAGTTCTTTCAATATGATTGATATTGTCCTAAAACAGTTATTCTGGAGATACGGAGCGAGTTCCTTAAGCCTCGTGGTAGAGTTATGAGATTCCATAAAGCATAACAGATCTTCCAATATGCCAGCACACTTGTCATCCACTACATCTCTAATCCTGCTGACTTGTGGTCCAAAATAAGCATTCAAGCAGTTCTTAAAGTCATCTTCATCGGCAGTAGGCTTGAAACTATAACCAAGTGGCATTTTCTTGTGTTTCGGCTCTAAGAACCAAACTCCACCACCAGTAGATCGCTTCTTCAAGTATGATGCAAAATCATTTTCTTACTAATTTCCTTCTTCAAGTCATTAAACCCAGACTCTACAATCTCTTTCATCCTCCTCACAAATGCCTGTTCCAGTCTATCTTCCAATATATCTTTCCGTTCTTTCAAAATCAACCCACGAATTTGGTTCCAAGGCGACTCGATATCAGAACCAAATACACTCATCAGCCACTGTTCCAGGCTCTGTTCAAGCCCTTCCCTTCCATCAAGAGTCTCACGAACCCGCTTCTGAACAGATGCCAACTCATCTCCGCTCTCAATTGAATCCACCAACCTCTTCTTATTCGCCATTTGTCCAAAGATCTCATCACAACAGCTTGTCAACCAAGATGAACAACTCACTGCAACAATCTCTGGCTTTAACAAAACCATTGCTGACTCCAGTTTTTCTCGATGTGACTTCCAAAGTCTTACCTCCTCCTCTGGATTTGGTATTCCCCCAAATAATTGAGTCCCCGGAGGCGAACCAAGCACTAATTTGTAAAACAGCGGCATTTCGTTCAATGCCATAAGAAATAGCTCGCCTACTTGACCTAAACTAGCTCTAATTATCCTCATCACATCACACAGAATAGAAGAAGAGGAAGAAGAATCGCGATCAGTCACCAAACCTGCCAATTTCTGCAAGATCCAGAGTCTCCTTGACTCCAAAAACAAGCCTAATACCTGCTCAGGATTCAGATCATCAATCGTAGCAGCCGCTGCGAGAGCATCAGCATACGATCCAACCATGAGATCTTGATCCGTCAACCTCTCTCGACTCTTCTGCGAGATCTGGGTTTTAAAGCTCTCCACTATCTCCCATTGATGCTTCAACAGCGGAAACCTAGACATTACATCCAGATCCGCTCCTCCGCAGGCGGTGACCAGACCGTGAACCTCCTTAGCTCTCAAGTACCTTCCAGAAGCTTCTAGAAGCATCGATTCATCAAGACACCCCCAAATATTTTCAGGAGTATCAACCAAATACTTCACCCTACACGCGATCCCATAGATCTTGGCTCTCGCGGGGTTCTGCGAGAGATTCGACGCAGAGCTAGGGTTTTCAGAGGGAGAAAGAGAATCTATAGCGGATTCGATAGCGGAGATGTTCGATTCGATGGACTCGCATGAGGATTTCATGGAGATGATGGAGTCGGCGGATTCGATGAGGTCGCGATAGCTTTTTCCGACGAGCTGACGGAGTTCTTCCTTTTTCTCTTCGATCTCTTTCTTGGTTTGGGATTCCACGGTGCGGATCTCGGCGATGGGCTTGGTTCTGAAGAGGGACTCGGCATCGCGGTTGGGGGCGGCGGTGACGGCGAGGAGGCGGCGGGGTTCCGCCGACGAGCGGCGTGGGTGTTCTCATGGCGGGAACGCCGTGATTTGGGTGAGATTTGGATGTTTTGGGCAATGGCGAATGCTGGACACAGGGAGAGAGAAAAGGCGTCGCGTGAGAGGCGGGAGATGTTTGGCACGTGGTATTGAAGGAGCGGGAAGTTTGGGTGAGGCTTGGGTCAAGCCGTCAAGGTGGTGGAGCTGGCAGTTTGGATCTGAAGGCTGCGGTTCCTTAGGTGGCAGAATGTAAATAAGTAAACATTTGGGCGAAAATTGAATTATCACATATACTATTTAATAAAAAGGAAGTGGGCCCTTTACGGCCTGTTTAGTTCCTTTGATTTGTTACAAATTTACTAGTTTCATGTCCTTGTGATGCACGGATTTGTTTAATCTAATCTATATCATCATCATTCTTCTACCTCTAAAAGAGGGAGTATGAGAAAAACTTTTCCTACCCAAAATGCCCTTCATCTATCATAATCATTCTACCTTTAAAAGAGGGAGTATGAGAAAAACTTTTCCTACCCAAAATGCCATTCATCTATCATAAAATTTAACAGAATTATCTTTTTTAACGTTACTCCAAATCATTCTACCTTTAAAAGAGGGAGTATGAGAAAAACTTTTCCAACCCAAAATGCCCTTCATCTATCATAAAATTTAACAGAATTATCTTTTTTAACGTTACTCCAAAATCAGAAATCAAAAGCCGCTGTTATCCAGATTATTTTTTCATCTATCATATCTTCGAGTTCTAACGCCTCTGTTCATTCATCTCCTTCAAAAATATTCAACCCCTCTCCATAAAAAACCAAATGGCGGAAAAAGGAAAAAAACAGAAGAAAAATCATAAAAATCGAAAGAAATCAGAAAAAAATGTAAACTTCAAGAGAAGTTGTAGATCGACGACAGGCGAACCCGTTGACCTATAACTCAAATTGATCAATAGATGAAACTCCTCCTCTGCGACTTTTCCATGGATTCTAGAGTTTTCGGCGATGGAGGCTTGCTATCTTTGATAAGTTTTGGTCTGCGAAGAATGTAAATATTCAGTTGATATGATTTTTTGTTATCCAGCTTTTTTCATTTTTAATCATTTTTGGATATTTTTCTTGAAAGCGAGAAGAATTAGAAGATATCATGGGAAAGAGACGGTCATCTGAGGTTGATATTATCTCTGTTATTTATCTCAGCTTGTTATCTATCATCTTTTCATTTTCCTTATTTTTTCTGATTTTTTTTCTTCTTTCTGTAAGAGAGAAGAATTTATTTACGGAGATCACCCTAAAACCCTTTCCCAATTTCTATGCTCCTCAACTAGATAAACTATCTTTATTCTTCTGTTTTTATTTTTTTAGGTTTTCTGCAATAAAAAAAAAAGAGCGAGAAACGGCCTCCACCGAATCCGATCGTCGTCCTCCGTGGCCGCCGCGCCTACGTCATGGACGCATGCTTCCACTCCTCGAGACCTCTTTGTGAGTGGGGGCCACTTTCCATGTGCGTGTGAGGTGTTCTCGTGAATACCCAAAGACCCACGTGAATGAAGCAAAAAAGAAAAAAAAAGTAAAGAAGAAATCGCTTGAGATTTCGTTTCCGCGTGCATGAAAGTCCACCCGATAACTTATCCCTCTATAAATGCACACCGAGGTAATTACCTAGGGTTGAGCGAGGAGATTTTTTTGGGCTGCGGTTGTGGGTATTTTTTTCAGCAAAGGAGCGCGAGAGGGAAAAGTGTAGCCGTCTTTTTTTGAAGAAAAAGTGTTTTTTAAGCAGTCCCTTCTAGGGTTTTGTGCAGTCTTTTGTAGAGAGATATTGCGAGGGATTTGAAAGTTTGTTTGAGGGTTTAAATTATGAGTAATTGTAAACCCTAGTTGTAATCTCTCCCTCTAATAGTAGATCTCCCCCTCGCCCCGTGGACGTAGGCAATTTGCCGAACCACGTAAAAATTGGTTGTATCGTTTTTGTGTGATTTGTAATAGCTTTTAGGATCCCTCGACAGGTTAGTCCTAGAACTGATGAGAGGAAGAGTCGATATCTCACTTTGTTAAGATATTAGCTTCAGATTCTTGTTTCCTTGGTGAGACGAAAATTCTTATTGCGATCTGACTCTCTTGTTGTGCTAACGAAGTACTGCCGAAATTTCCGCTGTGCGCAACAAGTGGTATCAGAGCCCAGATTTCAGATCTAGGATTTTGAAGTTTGGTGGAGGAAGATTCTTGTGTGAAGCTTGGTTCTTGGAGTTCTATGCTTCGGTGGAGATAGCATTAGGAGTTGCCGTTGGAGATTTCGTTTTCCTCGTGTGGATAGGAGATCTATTTAGAATCCGATCTAGGGTTCAGTTGGGTGGTTCCTAATTTCTATCAAATTTATTCTTTCTCTACAATTTGGAGTTAGTTTGCAATGGGAGAAGAAGGTGAAAGCAGCAAGTTAATGGCGAGTACAATACAAGTTGGTTTTCAGAACACTAAGATTAGTGTGGTGAAGTATGACGGTAAAATCAACTTTGGTTTGTGGATGAGCGATGTACAGGATGCGCTTAATGCTCAGAATTTGGAAGAGACCATCATGGTCCACGAAAGGCCACCTAAATATGAAGAGGCGATATGGGAGAAGATGAATAGGAACGCTTGTGGGGTGATCAGGTCCTATTTGGAACAGGAGCTGAAATATGATGTGATTAGGGTGACGTCTGCAATGAAGATGTGAGAAATTCTCAATAATAAGTATCTCACAAAGAGTGTTGAGAACAGGTTGCACTTGCTGCGAAGACTCTTCAGATTTCAGATGTCCAGAGGCACCTCGCTAGCGGCTCATGTGAACAACTACACTAAGTTGTTGTCGGACTTGGCGAATGTTGATGAGAAGATATCGGATGAGTACAAAGCTATTATCTTATTGGGCTCCTTACCGGATGAGGAGTATGATACCTTCGTGCTCACTTTGTTGAAACGGAGATCTTCCATCAGCTATAGTGAAATGACTAACGCATTGACCAATTACGATTTGAGGAGGAAGGACAAGGAGACTTCCCGTGCTAGCACTTCAAGCGAGGCCTTGTCGACAAGAGGTAGAAGCACATATCTGAAAGGTGGTAATAGAGGAAGGTCAAAGTCAAGAAGTCGCCACCAATTAGCAAAGAACCAATGTGCATTCTGCAAGGAGCAGGGACATTGGAAGAGAGACTACCCGAAGCTCAAGGAGAAGGAGAATGGCAAGAAAAAGGGCCCAAAGGCCAATGAGGTGAACGTTGCGAAAGGCGATGATTCCGATGATTCGTGCTTTTTTCTATTGATTACTCCGGAGGTGAACCATGTGGATGCATCAGATTAGATGCTTGATTACGACGCTACTTATCATGTGACCCCTAGGCGAGACTGGTTTGCATCTTTTGAGAAAGTCAACGAGGGTGTCCTTGTCATGGGAAATGATCAATCCTGTGGTATTTGTGGGATAGGTGCCGTGCGGATTAGGATGCATGACGGAGTAGTCCGTGAGTTGAAGAAGGTGAGATTTGTTCCTCAACTGAAGAAAAATCTTATCTCAGTTGGAGCTTTGGAGGCGAAGGGATTCAAGGTGACCTTTGATGACGCTGTAGCGAAGGTTACTAAGAGATCATTGGTGGTGATGAAGGGAGTCCGCAATCGAAATTTGTATTATCTGAAGGGAAGCACCGAGATTGGCCAGGTTGCTTCGGCAATTTCAGAAGCGGACATGAGCAGACTTTGGCACTATAGGTTAGGACACACATGTAAAAAATCACTACAGGCATTATGCAAGCAGGGGCTATTAAAGGGAGCCAAGAGTGGAAAGATTGAGTTCTGTGAGCACTGTGTTCTTAGCAAGAAGATGAAGGTGAAGTTCGGGACTACCATTCATCAGACGAGGGGCATCCTGGGCTACGTGCACACAGACGTTTGGGGTCCCACCGAGACTGCATCACTTGGTGGTCGACATTGATTCGTCACTTTTGTAGATGACTATTCTAGGCATTGTTGGGTGTACACCATGACGAAGAAGAGTGAAGTCCTAGATTTGGTTATGGAGTGGAAGAAGAGATTGGAACTACAGACTGGGAGAAAGATCAAGACGTCGCGATCCGACAACGGTGGTGAGTATACTTCTGACCCCTTTCAGCAGCTATATCGAGATGAGGGCATAGAGAGACACTTCACAGTTAGTCATACACCGCAGCAAAATGGAGTGGCAGAGAGGTTGAATCGGTCTTTACTGGAGAAGATCTGATGCTTATTGTCGCAGAGTAGTTTAGAAAAGATCTTTTGGGCTGAGGCACTTACATATACAAGCGACCTTATTAATAGGCTGCCTTCATCTGCGATTGAGGGGAAAACCCCTATGAAGAAGTGGTCGGGAGAGCCAGCACAAGATTATGACCAGCTCAAGGTATTCGGGTGCCCTGCATTTTATCATGTGAGAACTGATAAGTTGGAACCTTGAGCTAGGAAGGCCATATTTGTATGATTCAAGCGTGGTGTCAAGGGATACAAGCTTTGGGATCCAGTTGATAAGAAGATTGTGCTGAGTAGGGACGTCACGTTTGATGAGGCTTCTATATTGAAGCTTCCCAGGTCTCATCAGGTAGAGAGAGACCCGACGGAGGAGATATCGTAGGTGGTGGAGATCGATACAGCTCCACATTTTTCAGATGGTACAGCATCCATTAGAGTGCCGACTGAGGTGATGCCAGGCGAGCACGACGGTGACACGGAAGATACGGGTACTAATATGAAGGATCAGGGACCGACGGCTCAGGTTCAGGATTCGATTGCGGTTCGGAGATAGAGGAGAAACATACAGATGCCAGCACGGTATGCTGACACAGTTGTGTATGCACTTTCGGTGGAGAGTATCGATGAGTTGGTGCCTACTACAGTCAGAGAGGCCAAGCAAAGTTTGGAGGCTGATTTGTGGAAGGTGGCTATGCAGGAGGAGATGGAATCTCTTCATAAGAACGATACATGGGAGCTTGTTGAGCTTCCAAAGGGACGGAAGGCAATTGGTTGCA